TTAATGGCTAATGAAGAAACTGTGGTACAGGGTATGATTGATAGGCTAATCGAAATTGGAAGGTGCTATGGCATGGAAATGAATGTGGAAAAAACAAAATTAATGAAAATTTTGAGACAACCAACCCCAGTAACAATAAAGATAAACCAAAAATAACTGGCGAATGTGAAATATTTTAAATATTTGGGTAGCTTGTTAACAGATGACGGAAGGTGTACATGTTAAGTTAAAGCTAGAATTTCCATGGCAGAAACTGCATTGAGCAAGAAGAAGAATCTCTTTTCCAGCAAATTAGACGTGAATATGAGAAATAAACTAGTGAAATGCTACATTTTTGGCATGGCTTTGTATGGGGCTGAAACTTGGTCACTTAGGGCAGCAGATAAGAAACATCTGGAAAGCTTCGAAATGTGGTGTTGGAGAAGGATGGAGAAGATCAGTTGGACCGATTATGTGAGAAATGAAGAAGTGTTATTTAGAGTCAGTGAGCAGAGGAATATCCTACACAAAATAAGAAAACGGAAGGCTAATTTATTTGGTCATATCTTACGCGGTAACTGCCTTTTAAAGAAGTTCTTTAAGGAAAGATAGAGGGGCAGATAGAAGTGACCAGAAAACGAGGAAGAAGACGTAAGAAGATGCTGGATGAAATGGGGTACGGAAGAATATATTCTCATTTGAAGGAGAAAGCTCTAGATCGCATAAAGTGGAGGAACTGTTTTGGAAGAGACTGTGAACCTCTCGTCTTGATAGATTATTAATGAATTAATGAACAGTAAACCATTGCATTTATTTGGTTTTAACACACTTGAATAATGTGTTATCGTAGAAGCATTTGGTTCCTCTCAATTTACTCACTGAAGACAGAAGTTTATTTTCCAAAAATTACACCAGACCAATGACCACTTTTCCGCGGTAGGCACTCGGTAAGTCTCTTCCTTAAGTCGCTCATTACTGTTTACAGCATCTGTACGGGAAATCATCAACTTCTTTCAGAATTCGATGTTTCAATCCATGAACTGTGTGGGGTGCTGGAGCTTTGAAAACTTGAGATTTCAGATATCCCTAGAGATAAAATCACATGTGGACAGGTCAGGTATCCTGGCTGGCCATATGATGTCCTCACATCTGGAGATAATATGGTTAGGAAACAGGTTATTCACAATTGCCAGGGAAGCTCGTGCGGTGGGTACGTAGCCCCATCTTGCTGGGAAATCGTTTCTCCTTTGACTGGAAGACGAGAAAGTGCAGGAGCTAAGAAGCTCTCAAACATATGAACGTAACGTGGTCCATTCACGGTCACACGGTTCCCACTCGTCTTAAAGAAGCAAGGACCAATAATTTCAAACGAAGATTTCGCGCACCATATTGTGACTTTGGGACAGAGAAGTGTGGTTAGTGGCTGACCAATAGAGTAAATTTTGTTTAAATGATACAACCTCCGTCCTAAGTGCAAACAATATATATTTATATGTCTTTGAGCTTGTTCTTTCTACACTACATGTTTCGGCCTCTATCGGCCATCATCAGGTGTATACTCTTAACGTTGCTGCCACACTGAACCCAGTCTAAAACTTAACATTTAAAAACACAATGTCACATTCTTCGTATTATCAACATCTACATCGTTGATATGTGTCTGGTATGTAGATTATGTTGCACACGTCAAACCCGATATTCTTGTAGTAGCACTCTAAAAATCTTTAGTTATGATGTTTTTAAAACCTTTTAAAATTTTCTCTAAATTTTAAATTTAAAATT